CATATCTACTTCTCCCATAGTGTTGTGTCATAAATTAAAAAGTAATGAGCTTAATGGTATTGAAACATCCTTACAGTGCATTTTTCTTTTTTTTTTTTTCAGTGCCAGGGAATGAATCCAGGACCTCATATGTGCAAGGCAAGAATTATAGTCTTTATAGAACATTTTTGTATAGTCAATTGATATAAATTCAATCACTTGCTATAGATTTTGTTACTTTTTGGGTTTTGGTATTTTTTGTTGTTGTTTTGATTTGGGACCACACCCAGCAAAGCTTAGGGGTTACTTCTGCCTATGCACTCATTTCTGGCAATGCTTATGGAGTCATCTGGGTTGCCAAGGGTTGAACTGTTTGGTGGCATGCAAAACAAAGTGCTTAACTAGTTGTACTATCTCTCCAGCCCTTACTAGATATTATTACTATATATTCTTTTAAAAAATAGAAAAATATTCATGTATTTCTGTTCAATCTATATTTACTTTTACAGTGGATTATCACTGTGTCTCCAATATACTCTTAGGTGCCATAGATGTGTTATTTATTTATTTATTGGTTTGGGACCACACCTGGCAGTATTCTGGGCTTACTCCTGCTCTGCACTCAGGAATCATTTCTGGAAGGGCTTGATAAACCATACAGAGTGCCAGAAAATTGAACCTGGGTTGACTGTATGCAAAGCAAATGCTCTACTGGTTGTACTGTCACTCTGGTCCCAGGTTATTTTATTTAGTCCCTGGGATTCTAAGAAAGGTACTCATACCACTTATACTCAAATTCATACCACAGAATGGATCTATGGAGCCTACATATAGGATGTAGAAGATAATGGGAATTATTCCACATTGCTGTTTCCACAAGAGCCATTAGAGGTTTAAGAAACCAATTTGGGAAATTATTAGCAAAGGAAAAAAAATCTAATAGAATAGGACAAAAGAGAACAGAAACTAGCCCAGAACATCACAGCCAGGAAAAATGTCACTTGATGACATTTTTGTTTTAGCTACACATATGGAGGTGCAATCTAATTCTTGGTGTAAAGTACATTTATCATTTGGGGTTGTGGTTTAAAAATATGAAATATTAACCATGCCAAAATTAAAACAAATACCAATTGGATTCTAAAGAAATGCTAAGAAATAACTTCCCTCCCCCCTCTTTTTCCCATTTAATTTTTTTCTATTCATTTACAATAGTATAGAATTTAAGGGGCAGATGAAAAGCTACTTGTAGTGACGATCATAGGATAGGTTGTGGAGCATGGTGACAGACACTGGTGCAGACAAGACCCAACCTTGCAAAGTGGCCCAGAAGCAAAGCCTCACAAGAGGCAAAGTTGGCAAGAACAGGGTGTCAGCCAGCACCAGGTGTTCTGCCTTGAGCCTCACTCAACTTCCTAGTCAAATGAGCCCTAGACACAGAAACTGTCACGTCTGCTTAGCAAGTCATCCTACCACAGCATTTAGCCTTGATTGGGACTGGACCAGGGCAAAGCAGAGTTGGAGAGGTGAAAGGCCAATAATACTAAACTTTCTGTGATTGGACCATCTTCTGAAGTCGAGACCCCTTATAAAATATGTGTGTATTTGGCAATAAGGTGAACAGCCATCCGCTGCTCCCAGAGGGTGTTTCTCTGTTATCCTTTGCCCCACATCTGCCCGGAGTGCACAATGTGTCTGGGCACCATTGGGGGGAAAACTGTTCCCCAACAATGGGTGATATATATTGGTTCATAGCTGTTTTATTGTAGGTTTTTGTGTGTGTGTGTGGTGGGGGGGAGTCATGTTAAAAGAAAGAACTCACAACAAAATAACACGTCTCATTTATTTTTGTCTAAAGCACAAACAAGCTCACTTAGCACAAGAACAATAAGCAAATTACACAAATATTGAGAAAAATGTCCCCGTGGATACATACACATATATTGTTAAGAACACAAGCAGGAATTTAGCAACAGTGTAAAGAGGTTTTTCATAAATAATGTTTTCTTGGGCTGGAGCGATAGCACAGTGGGCAGAGCGTTTGCCTTGCATGCGGCCGGCCAGGCCGAGCCGGGTTCGATTCCTCCACCCCTCTAGGAGAGCCTAGCAAGCTACCGAGAATATCTCGCCCACACGGCAAAGCCTGGCAAGCTTCCCATGGTGTATTCGATATGCCAAACACAGTAACAAGAGGTCTCACAATGGAGATGTTACTGGTGCCTTTTCGATGAACAATGGGAGGACAGTGCTAGAGAGCTACAATGTTTTCTGACTAGTTTTTGAGCTAGGAACTGAACTAGTGAATCAATGACACTGAACAGGTCATTCTAATCACTTGAACACTGTTGGAATGTGAAAGTACTGTAAGGATTTGTGTTTCATTTCATCATTGATCTCTTTGACTTGCAATTCACTGCATTTGGACTAGACCCACAAACTAACCTTCCACTCTATTGCTCACAAAGAGGTGAAACATGCCTGTAGACCGAAACATGCCTGATAGTTTGTAACGGTGTCTGTTCATTTGTGTACTTCTCGCCATGATTTTCCTTTAGAGACTGATGATGTCCAAAATGGTAATTAGAACATCTGAAACTGCAAACGTTTCCTTTAATCAGAAAACAAGGCATAAAACTCTTTTCGATTATTAGAACATTATTTCAAGACATTGCCCCAAACACAATTCTGAATCTATCTTTCATTAATTGGAACACTCATTACACATGTGAATATTTCTGACACCATCAACGTCAAAAATAGACAACGAAAATGTTCAGTAGGCTGCAAAATCATCCAATTCTGGTATCAGCCATATATAATTACAAGGCAGAATTGATCCAGTATGCCTTCCAATTTTCTTTAAAGCCTTCGTGGCATGTGATTCTGAATTGCTAAGATTAAAAAATAGGAAGACACTGGAAGGGACTGAAGATCCAGAATATGTTATACTCTTAGGTTCACTGTTTTCTCTCTGACTCAGCCAGTGATGCCCATGAGAGTACTTAAGGACTCACTGCAAAGAGAGTGAAGTTGGGCTGGGAATATATCTCAGCAATATGTTTGTGTTGTTGCATGTGTGAGATACTGAGCTTATCCTGCTACCACACACACACACACACACACACACACACACAATCAATCAATCAATCAATCAATCAAACCTAACAAGAGTTTTCTACATATTTCCTTTTTCTACCTCTTATAGTTGTCATGGAGGAAAACAAGAGATTCAGAAAGATTTAATGTTCAACACTATCCTAGGAAGATCTCCTTCTGGCATGAATGAAGATCTTTTCAAGATATTCTCTTGGGTCTAAAACTTTTGAGAACTTAGAGGGGGAAGATGTAAAGTTGAGAATCACCAAGGGAGCAGGCTCCTCCACTTCTGTTTGCAATTACTAGGACAGTTTTGTAGATCCTGATATTGTACTTGGTTCCTTTTTGAATGGATTAGCCTACTTTTGTCTTAAAAGGGTTTAAGTGACTGATAGTCAACACTAGTGGATTACACCTTTACCTGTAAAGTGTACCATGAAATACGAGGGAAACATTGTAGAATAGAGCGAGGAATCTGATAGTCATAACTATTTGTCTCTAGGCAGAGAGCAAAATTTTCAAACCTAAAGTGACAAGATTAGCTTGAATACTGCTCTTCACAATTTAAAGTCAAATCACACTAGTCAAAAGCAACATTTTAAAGTGCAGGACATCTAGTCACACGTATAGTTAATACTTGGAATACTTCAAAGAGCATAGGCAACATTCAGTAATATTGCACTTGAAAAGTAAAACAAGTCAGAAGTGTTGCAAGTGGGATCAAAAATACATGTAAACATTTTAACACATCCTATTTTTACTAGAATGATACACAAGTCTTTACATAGTACTAGGGCTTAATGTTTGTCAGATTGGTTATCTATGGTCATTCTTCTGCTTCTGATGCTACACTTACGTTTACATGAAAACATGTTCAACATCAAAATGTATACGCTTAGGGAGGTAAAAGTGTAGGGTCTTTCACTTCTCATCCAAATTCATCATTTAGTGGGGTAGACATTTATTTGGGTTAAGTACCAAATAACCAAGTTCATTTGGCAGAGACTGCGTTCGAGGGCAGAAAAGACTTGCTGACACTACAGAGATATAGGGAGAAATTTGGCAAGGCATCTTTGACAGGGCTCAGAAACTAGAAATCTTGGCAAGACAGACTGGAATCAGCTAAGATTCAACTAAGTTACTTACTCTATCACAATACAAAGACTTAGATGTTGTGTGACCAAATGACCAAAATTTTGCTTAATTTCTAGATGTAGTTTATACTAAGCTAAAAGTTTTTCCAACAAGGGAAAAAGCCTGAAATGAATATGCGAACGATTACTCAATATCCTATGTGGGAATAAAATTTAACAATAAAGGATGGGAATTTGTCTTCTCATTTCTGTAAATATGAAGTCAATGATATTATATGAAATTCTTCACTATCAGGTAATATTAACAAGTCACACCTAAGCCTTAGATCCAAATAATGCCCTACAGTAAAAAATCTGTTTATTTTGTTGCTGGTTTGTAGTATTTGGACTCAAGTGAGGAAAAGAGTAAAGGGTTTAAACAGCATTTACATCACTACTATTTCAGGATGTGTCACAAATTCATAACTTTGTTTTAATTCTTGGTTGTGAGAAGCATACTTATTAGCTGGGAACGTAAAAATATTCTCTGCTTTGTGAATGTTCCTAGATGCCCAGCATAATGATGTTACACTCATATGAACATTAAATATGACCTGTCTATAGTTTCCATCATCCAAAAATTCTAAAATCCTGAAAATTAATAGGCGTTGGAAAGATAATAGGATAAAATCAGAAAATAGAATTATTTCAATATGCAGGGTTTATTTTAAATATTTTTAAAATAAGATTCATCCTTCATTTTAAAATTCTAATAGATCTGAGTATGAAATTTCCAGCAACTTGGGCAAAGTTCTTAGGGAGAAGAGGCCATTACAGTAACACTTTTCCTTCCATACTGGTAGTCCCTGGATGCCCAGTGTTTGCCTCAGTTTCTGAAGATTCCAGTCTACACAACAGTGGGGTAGCATTCATCTGGGTTCTAACAAAACTGAAGCACTACTAATATAGCACAGTTAGGAAGTGAGTTTTTTTTAAGTACACAAAAATACAACTATTTATGCTATGTAGTTATATGAATAATATTCCTAAGAGACTTTAAGTCTTTAATACCCAACTTCTGTCAAACACTTTGAAGCACAGAACTATATTAAGGAAGTATGTGGCATTCAATTTCTGACATTTCATCCCCAAAGAAGGCAAAGTACAACAATAACACAGCTCTAATATGCAAATTCCATTAAGTGCAAACTTTCAGAACACAAGGTTCATCTTGGAACATTTTAAAATTCAGCAAGTTCTCTCCTTTTTTCCTTAATTCTTTTGCTCAGTAGGTAATTTACCAACATAATCTGAAGTGATTTTCCACATTAGTTGACAGTCTGAACTTTTCTTCCCTCATAAAAATATACTCGTTTATTCGTTTTCTGATTTTTTACTATTATTAGATCAAAATATCTAACCTTATAGCAATATCTTTTCTCTCCACATTTTTAAATATGAAATCAATCTTACCTCAATCTATGAGAAACCACCAGAAATGTCCCTTATGTTTGAGCTTAAAGTAAATCTGAATAGCTCAAAAGGGAGAGATTTTGAATCCTCCCAACCAGAGAGTCGATTGTTAGAGCAACTTCCCTCAAATGATTTGTCAAGTGAATACTGTAACTAGACACAGAAAGAGATTGTCACCCCAAGAACAAGGTACTGTTTTTTTGACTTTCGAACTCTGCCTGGGCACAAGAGAAATGCAGAACCACATTATCCCAGGAGAACTTGAAGATGTCCAGGGTTTTACACCGAGCTTGAGAACGGGACCACCTGCTTTCCGCCCACATAAACTTCCTCAATATTACGATCATCTCCTGAAAGAAAAAACGATAAATCATTTATAAAGTGCACTTGTGAGAGTAAGTATTTCAATTACCACTAGCAGGAAAAAAAATTAAAACAAGAAAAACAAAAAGAATGCCCTTTTCTCCTCAGTGTGCTTATAATCTGGACAGAGCGACATAAGCAAGAGAAGTCACTGCATCTAACTTGAAGACTGGGTTCTGAATACTGTATCTAGGCAGAAATTACATAAAATTGGTACTTAATACTGTTCTTTCAGCCCAAGTAAGTGGATTCCCTTTCCAGTATTAATCAAGAAGGAAAAAGTTTTTCTAACACTCCAGAATCATAATCAGAATGGAGAGATGAGAAGAATACAAAAATAAATAAAGAAAGAAAGAAAATGGCCTCTCTCAAGTTACCCAAGACCCTAAACTCTCATACGTCTCCTATAGCTATGGTCTCCTATAGCATTACTGAATAGTAATGCACTAAAGAGTATGTGTAGTGATATGTCACACATATTTGTCACAAACATCACATACCAGGGCAGAGTGGAGGTGAAAGTGTAAGAGTAAGGTACAAAGAACTTCCACCTCACCTTTTCATTATTTTTATTTTAGGATCTATGGCAATAAGTTCTAGAACCTGGACATTTTAAACAATGCCTTTAAGTGTTGTATCATAAACAAGTTTGATCATGGGGAATATTAAAAACAAATCTATGGGCCAGAGAGATAGTACAGTGTCTACAGATAGTACAGCACTGGCTTTGCACACAACAGACCTGGGTTGTTGGATCCCTGACAATGCATGTTGTCCTGTGTTGCACCAAGAGTGATCCCAGAGCACAGCCAGGAATGAACCCACACAGCCAGGGCTTTATAAACAAAATAAGCTATATATACATATATGTGTGTATGTGTGTATGTGTATATATGTATACATATGTATGTATATATATACACAAATGAACAAATGATCACATTTGGGGTTCAACAAATGAATAAATCACTACAAAAATTAAACCAAAGTAAGAGACATAGAAAATCTTTAACTAACATAGAGCAACATATATACTTACCTAGATAGAGGAACTTCTGGATAACAGCCTAAAAAAAAATAAGTGAAAATGAGAATAGTTTGCATTTTTATAAAAGGAAATCCAGAGTCAACAGTGATTAGCAAGCTCAAAAATATATTTCTCAATGGCAAAATCTACTCTTACTCATTAAAAGAAATGGTTTGGGGCTGTAGAGAGAGTTTAAACAGTGGTTAAAGTCCTTGCCACGCACATGGCCCCACCCTGGTTCAGTCCTTGGGTTCAGTCCTTGTCACCAGATACAGTTCCTGGAACACCACCAGAAATGATCCCTGAGCAGAGACTCAGGAGTAGTCTCTTATGGAGTGTAGACTTAAAAAGCAAAACAACAACAACAAAGAGTTTTTGCTTTATAAAAAATACTGATTATTTACAAATTTTTTTTATTGGAAAATTCTCAGTATATAACTATTTATATAAGGTAAAGGCCCTCCCGTTGATCGTCGATTTGCTCGAGCGGGCCCAGTAACGTCTCCATTGGAGACTTTGTTGTTACTGTTTATATAGTTATATAAATAAATTGCTGTCATTTTTGGCCACCCCAAAAGCCTCCGTCCCTCTTGGAGAGCCTGGCAAGCTATCGAGAGTATCCCACCCGCGGGGAAGAGCTTGGCAAGCTACTCGTGGCATATTCAATATGCCAAATACAATAACAACAACGACCTCATTCCCCTGACACTGAAAGAGCCTCCAATACAGCAGCGTTGGGAAGGATGAGTAAGGAGAGGATGCTAAAATCTCAGGGCTGGGATGAATGGAGACGTTACTGGCACCCGCTCGAGCAAATTGATGAACAATGGGAAGACAAGTGATCAAGTGATCATTTAAAATAAATTAATTTATTTAATAAAATAATTCAAACATTCCTAGAGGTATAGAGGGAAAAATAACTATAAGGAGTTCTGAGTTGAGTCCTATTCCCCAGAAATTCAGTCTAATTAAGGTGCAAAAGATGTGTTTAAGTAATATGAAAATAGCAAATGGTACCAATGAAATAATTATACATATTTTTTCGAACTACTTATTATAGTATATTTAGTATTACAACTCTCTCCTGATTTGTTAAATAAATCGAGCAAATATTTTAAAGGAAAAATAAAATGTTATAAAGAACTTTTATTAAAACAACAAAAATCAGTATATTTACTTATTTTTGGTTTTGTTTCGGGACCACACCTGTCAGTGTTCAAGGTTTACTTCTGGTGTCTCCATGCTCAGAGATCGCTGGTTGTTCTCAGGAGATTATATGTGGTACAAGGATTTAAACTCAATCAAGTAGGCCACATGTAAAGAGTACAGCAAGGAGGCCTGCTGTACTATCTCTCCAGTTCCTGAACCAGGATGATCAAAAATGCGAAGTCTAGAAGTCAGAAAGTCCTGTGATTGATTCATAGTTATGAGCATGAGCTCTTAGGTAAATCATTTAGTCTCCTCATTCCATGGCTTGGAGGCCAGCTGCACACTCTAGGGGTAAAGGCAGCTCAGATAGAGAAGGGCGCACCAAATAAAGGGTGCTGGGAAGATCCACCCAGGATGGGAGATGCATGCTGAAAGTAGACTGTAGACCAAACATGATTGCCACTCAATTCCTTTTTTGCAAACCACAGCACCCAAAAGGAGAGAGAGAACAAAAGGGAACGCCCTGTCACAGAGGCAGGGTGGGATTTGGGGATGGGGAGTGGGAGGGATACTGGGATCCGTGGTGGTGGGAAATGGGCACTGGTGGAGAGATGGGTACTCAATCATTGTATAACTGAAACCCAAGCACAAAAATTTGTAAGTCTACAACTGAACCTCATGGCATTTCACTAGTAAAAATTAAAAAAAAAGAAAAAATCATTTAGTCTCCTCTTGTGTCTTACTGCCATTAATTAATAGGGTAATATCAATAGCATCTCCCTCTCATAGTTGTTCTGATTGTTAAACAAACAGGATGTGTATGAATGTGTTTAAGCCCATACTACAAAGCAGAAAGATATTCAGTTGGTTTTATTATGATTTTTCATAGTCAGAATATTCAAATACACAAATGTGCTCAAAATGTAAATATTTACTTAATACCATTATGCTAACATTGCTATCATGGAAATTATGGTTCATAAGTATCTAGTTTGTTTTTTTTTTTTTTTAAGATTCTTCTGCATTCTGTGAAAACATTCAACCTTTTTTTCCTTTAAATTTTATTTAGGCTGGAGACACAGTCCAGTCCAGAGAGCATTTGCCTTGCAGGTGGTCAGCCAAGGTTTGATCCCCTGTGTCCCATTTGATCTGAGGTAACCCCTGAGCATTACCGGGAATGGCTCATAAAAAATAAACAAACAAAATTATATATTTGGGTGGGGGAGTGAATCAAACCAGCAGAGGAAATAACTCCAGTGTTGAACCCAGGGCTGGCTGTATGCAAGGCAAGTTCCTTAGTCCCTGTACTTTCTCCAGTCCCTTTCCTCCCTGTAGTAAATACTATACTATACTATACTATACTATACTATACTATACTATACTATGACTCCTTCAAGAAATAAATACTCTTTGGCTATCTTCTTTTACATACCTCAGAAATATCACCAACAAAATCTCCATAGAACAGGTCAATGGGAGAGTCAGAAGCTTTGGGGTTGATCAGGAGAGCATCAAATTCCTTGCCCACTTCGAAATTTCCAATCTCTTTGTCTAGCCCTAAAGCTATAGAGTGTAATACATGAATAAACAAGTCAGTGTTGTGAACCATCATATCATGCCAATGTCCCAGTTTGCAAGGATATAATCTGCCAACATGTCACTAGAAAAAAATTAGTATCGTTAAGAGTGAAGCAGAAAGCTCTCATTGCAATAGGTCATAGGCTTCTACTTATAGGAAGCACAGCACAGGGAAAGAAAACTCTGAGAATGAAAGAGTTCCCTTTATCACCATGATCATAATTCTAATGGTGAATTTCTATTTCAACTCTGTCAGTGTTCTGCACAGTCCAGCTGGTCTATGATATTTTATTCATTCTTCTAAGAAATATGATGATTGACATCACACTTTTCTTCTTTTTCCATGCAATTTTCCCAACTCCTTTCTGTTGTACAGGGTATAGCACACAAGATCTATTTTTGTGGCAATAAAATGGCCTTCAAATCAAAAATTCATCCATGTGCATATTTGCCAAAGCAGTCATGTCCATCATAAATCCTTTAGCTTAATTACTCAGAATAGAAAGTTTTCAGTTCTGAAAGTAAACAAAGTTGTAACTGCAAAATCCCAATGCTTTCTCAAGAAAACCAATTTCTTTGTAATACTGGAGATTTTTTGGATGCTAGAGAATTGTTTTCTAAAGTTGAGCCTGGGTCAACAATGCCTAGGACTTGATCCACCTTTTAACTAGAATTCATATTGAATAATATTGGGCTTCAAGAAAGAATATTGCTCTTCTTTATGCTTTAGTTTCAAATTATGGGATAGTTTTTCCGACAATGAAAATATTGAACTGAAATTCCTTAAAACCTATAATCTGAGTAAAGTTTACACTGAAATACCAAATGGAAGAATGCATAAAATGAAAGTGAACTATATTATAGCATTATTTATTTGAATCTTTGCATGTGTTTGTTGCATCCTGTTACTATCAAATACAGTCCAATATGAAAACATTTGATCACATAGCTCCGTTAGCATCTGCTACATTTATCCTTCTATATATGGATGGATTTCCAGTGCTCTGGCAAGCTCTTACTTGGAAATACCACTTGTTATTAAAGGTTATTTAAAGGGCAACCCTTTTATTCTCAGAAAAGAAAAAGATATTTTTTTAGCTAAAAATTTCTTATAGAAAAAAAGAGCTGCAAAAATAATTAGAAATGTTAAAAGCAATTAGATGACTTTACTAATCAGGTTGGAAAAGACTGAATGCAAGAGAAAAATGACTGGAAATTTCCTTCTTAACCAAGTCTACTGCTATTTTTGTCTTTGACAAAGAAACATGACAAATACGAGTTTTTAATGACTGTGTCAAAATAAAATTGTGTATGATAGATCAGGATTGATGATACATGCACCTATTTGGGACTCTGAGGACTTGAGGAGTTCAATCACAAACTAATCAAAAAAGACACAATTGCTTTCTGTGAATTTATTTATTTATTTACTTGGTTTGGGGACCACACCTGGCCATGCTCAGAGCTTACTCCGGGCTCTGCACACAGGGACTATTCTTGGTGAACTCAGGGGCCATATAAGCGGTGCCCAGGATTGAACCCAGGTTGGTTGTGTGCACGGCAAATGACCTACCCACTGTACTATTGCTCTGGTCCCCCGTCAGTGAATTTATAAATTCATCTGAATTCAGATTATTGCCAGGTTGCTAAACAATTCAAGTGAACTTCAGGATATTAATTTTTGTTGCCTTCAAAGCAAATATGAGCTCTGTGAAGGTGACTTATGCATATCATGATTTCATTGAGAGTGCATTTAAAGGCTGTGGCAAGCTGGGAAGCTATACTCAGGATCTATTCATCTCATTTCTCTCAGACTCTTGTACAGACACAAGATAAGGAGCAGAAATTCCATACAAGAAAGTTCAGTAGCTCTGAAAACAAATTAAAGCAGAACAAGGTAGAAATGATTCAGTAAGCACCCCAGGCTGTCTTGATCAGACACAGGATCCCGGATGAAGCAACTCACAGAGGGCCTAGAATTAAAAAAAGCACTATTTAAATCCAACTGCTTTGCACCATGAAAATGAGATTGGTATGACAACTTCCTGAGCTCAGACGTCTAAATCACAATGAAGATTGGGATGGGGGAATGTTACGCTCATTAAAGGAATAGCTGATTTGGGCCAGAATAATAGTACAATGAGTAAGGCATTTGCCTTGCATGAGAAGGACCTAGGTTTGATCCCTGGCATCCCTTATGGTCCCCTGAACACCATGAGGAGTGATTCCTTAGTGCAGAGTCAGAACTAATCCCTAAACACAGACAGGTGTGCCCCCCACCATACCAATTAAAAAAAGCTTATTTAAACTTCAGAAAATGAAATAATACTTGGAGAACTCCAAACAAGTGACCTGTAGTTGTTTTTCTTAAAGCATTCTATTTATTTTGGGAGTAGGTGTTTTGGTTTTTTTGGGCTATTCTGTTTAGTACTCAGGGTCTACTTCTGGCTCTGTGCTCAGGGGTCACTCCTGGGGACGTTGGAACCATATGAAAATGTGGATTGAATAAGGGTCAGTCACAGTAGTACTGTTTCTCCAGCACAGTTTTGAAAGATTCTTTAGAAAATTCATCCTGCTTCAGAACATTAAAAAAAATAGCTAACGAAAAATAAAGCTCCTGGAAGAAAGCAACATAGAACTTCCAGAGAGATATGATAGGGTTTAAAGCACTTGTCTTGCATGTGGCTGACCCCAGTTCAGTCCCCAGCACTCATGGCCCCCTGAATACTGTTGGATGTGGTTCCCAAGCAACACTAGAGCTAGAGAAGCACCAGGTTCTCGGGCTGCTTTGCCTCCAAATCACTAAGAGAGATCTCCAAGCTTCCTGGGCACCAGTTGAGAGACCCCCAAATAAATAAATATCTAAAGAATAAACTACACGTGAAAGTAGGAAAAGTTGATGAACAGTATTTGCACATCAATACACTTTGTTTTGTTGTTGTTGTTTGGTTTTCTGTTTTTTTTGTTTTTGGGTTACACCTGGAGATGCTCAGGGGTTACTCCTGGCTTTGCACTCAGGAATCACTACTGGTGGTGCTCAGGAGGCCACATGGGATGCTGGGGCTTTAACCCAGGTCGGCCTCATGCTAGACAGGTAAGTTACCCACTATATTATAGCTCTGGCCCCAACAAAGTATAGCTTTATATATTATTCCCTCTAAGAGGATTTAGGTAATATGGTGTCCTAATGAAAATACATAGTCCAAACTGGGATTTGTGTAGGAAGCTATGAAAGTGAAAGACAACGGGTAAGGATCTTCATTCTCACCTCAGGTTTTCTGTATTCAAGTCATGGCACACTATAGCTTGACAGTTATGTAAGTCTCACCTGGCATATTACTGGTGAAATGAATTAATCCTAATGATTTTGAGAATTTAATAACAACATACATAGAATTCAAAGTGCTTATCACATCATTAGAGCTCGGTGAATCGAATTTTACTACTACTACTGCTATTTGTTTAGGGCTTGGGGGCCATACGTGGTTTAAAGAACTACTTCTGGCTCAGTGTTTAGGGGTCACTCCTGGAGGTCCTTGAGGGACCATCTGCAGTGCTGGACTCTACGCATGTGCCTCAGGCATATTGAGTCATTTCTCTGATCCCTCACTACTACAATTATATTATTATTATTATTATCGTTATTGTTATTATTATCATCATCATACTTGGGGCAAAGGAGATCGTGTTACTCAACTTGATGGAAAACAAACAGATGATTTTAAAGAACTTATATTGGGGGGGTCAGAGTGATAGTACAGCAAGTGAGGTGCTTCCCTTGAACCCCACAGATCTGGATTTGATCCCTGGTACACCATATCATTCCCTGAGATCGACCAGGAGTGATCCCCTGAACACAGAGAAAGGAGTAAGCCCTGAGAACTTCTGGGTGCGACCCCAAAACCAAAAACACAAAACTTGTATTTATATGATCAGTGCAAATATTCATTAAAGCCATTGATATAGTAGGGGTGTTGAACAGTTTTTCTGTCAATAACAATGAACTGCCTGAAACAATTATGCCCTTCCCCTGCCCGAATAGTTACCTTGCTTGCTAAGTTTGGGAAATATTACATCAGATGCAAAAATTATAAATATTGGATGTCTATGTTATTGTGATGCCATTATCACATGCTTTCAGTAACTGTATCCAAGAACACATACATTGCCTAAGAGATAAAAAAAATAATAATCATTACCTTGGCTGCCTCCCAGAGTAGCTAATCTGAAGACTTCTTTGAGGGTGAGACTTTTCTCATTTACCTTATTGATCAAAAGGATATTAGAAACCATCACCGCTCTTCTGATTGCATCAAGCATGGAGTATGAGTAGCCGCCAGCCACATCTATATGAGATAAAAACAAAGTCAAAAGAGTATGTTCAGGAAAAAAAGGATTTGGTATGTAAGTTTCATTTCTATGCTTTGTTTTTTAGTATCAAATATTCCACTTTACAACTACTTAAAAGAACATAGAAAAAAACCAGACTAACATTTAAAGGAATTCAACACCTATGATTAGTACCAAACATATACTTGTATTTATTTATTTTGGGGGGTGGGTCCCACCCAGCGATGCACAGGGGTTACTCCTGGCTTTGCACTCAGGGATTACTCCTGGTGGTGCTCGGGGGACCATATGGGTTGCTGGGAATCAAACTGGGTCAGCTGCGTGCAAGGCAAATGCCATACCTGCTGTGCTATGACTCCAGCCTCTTTTTTTTTCTCAAAATAAGATTTTTCTCTTCCATAAAATCATTTTCCTTTCCCTTTTCTGCCTTTCCTTTTTCTTTTCTCCTTCCTTCCTTCCTTCCTTCCTTCCTTCCTTCCTTCCTTCCTTCCTTCCTTCTTTCTTTCTTTCTTTCTTTTCCTATATTTATTCCTAGTATTGTTGAATGAGTCATCAAAAATTTGGTGACTGAAAAAAGCATAAATTTATTCTCTCAGCACAGTGGCTGCCACTTCAGAGCCTATTGGACAGCCATGTATGTGCCGGCAGTGACGAGGTAACTGCGGCCTAATGAGATGGGAGGTGAAACTGGCCCATCCTTCCTGCCCTGCTGAAAACACGAGTTGCCCCCCATGAGCGGCCATGGGCCCAGAGGCACACAGACCCAATTTGGAACCCAGCAGCTTTTGGCAGAAATCCCTCCAGATTTAATTAAATATCAGAAATCCAAAGTGGTGCAGCCGTGACGTGATATGCTCTTCATAACCAACAACAGAAAACAGATTATTTAACGATGCCCTTTCAGCAAGTCTGACTGTTGGGGGAAAATTCCAAATAAGAATGGTGCATCTTTTGTCGAAATAATGAATGCAATCAAGGTAGAGAGAGAGAGTTAAGTGGAAATCATTTGCCTCACATGAAGGGGAAGGAGAGGGATGGGGGGTATATTGGGGTTCTTAGTGGTAGAAAATGTGTACTGGTGAAGGGATGGGTGTTTGATCGTTGTATGACTGAGACTTAAACCTGAAAGCTTTGTAACTGTTCTCAAGGTGATTCAATAAATAAATAATAATAATAATAATAAATTATTCTCTCACAGTTTGGGAGACCAGAAGTCTGTTATCCAAGTAATGTGAGCGAGAGCCATGGGCACTATAAACACTCTCAAAAATCTTCTCTTCTTTCTTTGCCTGTCGACTTTCTTGCTCTGGCTAATCACTGCCTTCATCTTCAACGGACCTTCCCACTCCCACTTCTGCTCTCCTAGAAGGGCATTCATCACTGGATTTAGGGTCAAGACCCGCATTCCAAATTCACAGGAATAATTTCTGAGTGAGTTCTTTTGGTGGAAAGAGGCACTATTCAATCTGGCACATCTTTCGGATGATTAGTAAAACAAAAGAAAGAAACTTTAATACTTTTGATTTTAGAAACTTTAATACATTTGATTTTGTGGCCACACCAGATGTGCTCAGGCGCTACTCCTGGCTCTGTGTTCAGGGGTCACTCTTGAGAACCAATGACTGAGCTTTCTCTCAATCCCCAGATAGAAGAGTGGAAGAAAATATTTTTTAATTTTTTTTTAAGTTTATTGTGGAAATAAAGAGAGGAAGGAAAGAAACAGATTCAGACATTTTGCTCAAGAGAGAACACTGGCTTCTCCAGAGAGAAAACTCTTTTAGAAACTCTTATGTATAAAAATTGCCTGAATTCTCAGGTACATTGTTAAAAATCTGTCTGCATTGTTGTAACGATCATTTAGATAACATAAAATGAGATTTAAAAGAAGCTTCTAGTTCTGTGCTTGGACTGACTATTCTCTATTCTAATTCATATGAGAATTTGGGGAGATCAAAAAGCCACTCCTTTATATTTTTTCTGGAAAAGCTTTAAAATGAACTCGGTTATTCCAGAAAGTTAGTGAAATAAAAGAACAATGCTAATGTAGACAGTTTTATATTTTGCCAGACATCATGGAATATGAAATAAGATTTTTAATGATTTATAGTACCTAACTATAATTCAATTGAAATATTACTTTTGACAAGAACAAATGTAAAAGTTAATAAAATAGCTTACATAAATAAATTTTAAGTATGTTATCATGCTTTATCAGAGGATGAATATAGTTATTGATAACCAAATTTGGACTGGAAAGATGGAAGAGCAGGTATAGTGTTTGGCTTGCAAACAGCCAACCTGGATTCAATACCTGGCACCAAGTGGTTCCCCCTGAACCCACCAGGAATGATTCCTGAGCACAGAGCCAGAAGTAAGCCCTGAACACCACTTAATATTATCCCAAAACCAAAAAATTAAAATTAAAAAACATACCATACACCAGGGCTCTTTTTCTTGGACATTTTGGGATATATATATATATATATATTTTAGTGCATATGTATGTACATTTAAAAATAATTGCCTATTCAGTGATAATCCTAGATTGATTTTTAGTTTTATGTTCAGTTAGCTCAAGTTTCCTTCGATAAAATTGTATTTTTTAAAAGAAAATGCTTTTCTTTCTTTAACCATAACAGTATTGTAAGAGAATAATTCAGTTCTTTAACAAGTTTAATTCAGTAACCATTCATCAAACATTTATTTTACTATGTCATCAAACTAAGAAAACATATGATTTAAGAAAAATATATATTAAGTTTTGAAATATATTTTTTACTTCTTTATATATTGATAAATCAAATAAAGTGTTAAATGTAAAGAAAGGATAAACACACGATTACTTGAATCTGGGGAGTATCATGCTAGAAAAAATGAGTCAGAGGGATAGATACAAAATGATCTCACTCGATTCCTACGCCCCTCTCGGAGAGCCCGGCAAGCTACCGAGAGTATCTCGCCCGCACGGCAGAGCCTGGCAAGCTCCCCGAGACGTATTCGATATGCCAGACACAGTAACAACAAAGTCTCCAATGGAGACGTTACTGGGCCCGCTCGAGCAAATCGATGATCAACGGGAGGGCCTTACTTACTTACATATGAAGACTATAAAGAAACATAGTAGAGGAACAAAGGGAACAGAAACTGACAACTGGACTTCAGTAGCGGGTTTACCACAGGGAGGGACGAGAGGAGTTGGACAGAATTGTGGAAGACACTGGGACAGTGATGGAGGGAAGGAGGCACTCTAGTGGAGGGCATGGTGAAGGAATATTTTATATATGAGACCCCACCATTTATACTTTTATAGACCATGGTACTAATATATATATAGAGAGAGCAATAGCACAGTGGGTAGGGCGTTCGCCTTACAAGCGGCCAACATGGCTGACCCGAGTTCGATTCCTCCGCCCCTCTCGGAGAGCCCGGCAAGCTACCGAGAGTATTGGATATGCCAGACACAGTAACAACAAAGTCTCCAATGGAGACGTTACTGGGCCTGCTCGAGCAAATCGATGATCAATGGGAGGGCTTTTACTTTACTTTACTTACTATATATATATATATATATATATATATATATATAACAATCACTATAAGATATGGAAATATATAAAAATTGAATTTATATTATAAAATAGTTGTATAAAAATGGGAAAAGAAACAAAACAAAAGCAATGCAGTTAGTATACTCTGAATATGGAATATTAAAATGCTCATAGTCGTACAAATAAGTTGGTGAACTGAAAGAGAAATAATGAACTTCTATAATATACAGACCAGTTTTAAATTGTGGATCAAAGACTTTTTTGCTTTTGTTGACTTTGATGAATTATTCTGCAAGCATGAACAATAATTTACTCAGAAAATAAAAATAACTTAAGCTATCTTAACAATTGCTAAAAAAAATCCAGTTAAATGACATGAATGCTATGTTAACATAAATGAAAACCAAAAGGTAAAAATGATGAAACAGTGGGGAATGGGGAAGAGAGAAGAATGGTGTTTTCTGCCTCAAATTAGAGTTCAGAGCACTGAACTGAGTGAAGATTGTATCAGGATCTTGTTTTTTATTAGTTGACAACACCTCTCGGCTCTGAGAATCAAACTCACTGTGTCTGCTTGTGCTTATGTGAGATGGCAACCTGAAGTCCAAGCTCACAGCACACTCCTCCTGCATGCACTCTAAGCCATTAACTGTGACCCAAAGAGGTTGGGAAACTACAGGATGCATAACCATCCTAGAGGAGAGGGAGGCTCAGATCTTGTCCCATGGAGCTAAGAAACTTGCCATCTCTAGTGGGTAAGGTGGTGTCAGTGTATAGAATCAGACACCTCCAACGCAAAACACTGTCACTGTCACTGTCATCCTGCTGTTCATCAATTTGCTCGAGCGGGCATCAGTAACATCTCACAACAAATTCTGAGATTTGTTGTTACTGTTTTTGGCATATCAAATCCAATTATAAGAAAAGAAGAACAATTAAGTTTTGCTACAACTTGGACTATAGACCGAACATGATGGCCACTTAATACCTCTATTGCAAACCACAACACCCAAAATGAGAGAGAGCGCAAAAGGGAATGCCTTGCCACAGAGGCGGGGTGGGGTGGGGGGGACGGGGTGGGAGTAGTAGGAAGGATTCTGGGACCATTGGTGGCAGAAAATGGGCACTGACGAAGGGATGAGTGCTCGATCATTGTATGACTGAAGCAGAAGCACAAAAGTTTGTAAGCCTATAACTGTACCTCACAATGATTCATTAATAAAAAAATTTTTTTTAAAAATTTTCCTACAACTTGGTTTGAATCAGAGACATCATGTGAAGCCAATAAATCAGAGGAAGAACAAATGTCAGATTATCTCACTCACATGTAGTATATAAAGAAATTAATCCAGGGGATGGAGAGTATTCAATGACAACAAACCTGTGGACATTGGAACAGAACGTAGGCTACCCACTTAGGGGGTGGGAGAGTTTGAAGGTGAGAAAGA